GCAACCTGTGCCAGTGCCTCATCACCCTCACAGTGAAGAATTTCTTCCTCATATCTACTCTAAATCTCCCCTCTTTCAGTTTGGAACCGTTACCCCTTGTCCTATCACTCCCTGCAGCCCTTGATCAGCTTCGTGGCCTCCTCTGGACCCGCACAAGCAGCTCCATGTTTTTCTTGTGCTGGGGGCCCCAGAGCTGAACGCAGCCCTGCAGGTGGGGTCTCACCAGAGTGGGGTAGAGGGGCAGAATCCCCTCCCTCAACCTGCTGGCCACGCTGCTCTGGATGCAGCCGAGGATGCGATCGGCTTTCTGGGCTGCCCTCCAAGTACGGTTTTGGTGTGAGCTGCCAGTACATGAGAAATGTCACTTTGGTTGCTAGTTTCGAAGCAAAGAAGGAAGCTGCTTCTGACGGACACGTGCAAGAGGTGCTCACAAGAGAGACGGGAATGGCAAAGTCTAGTTTTTCAAACAAGACACCCTACAGCTAAAAATCTACATGATTGATGTGTGTTTCATTGAGCTACTTAGTATATGCAGCTTGTTATTGTCTTTTCAACTGTGCATATTTGAATAGGGACCGTGGTAATGACAAATCATTATTATACTATAAATAAAACATTATCCAGATTGTGCTGGTCAACGGAGCATAAAACAAATAGCAAAATCTAATGTCCATGAATTACAATTTAGGGAAAAAAAAAAAAAAAAAAGGCAGCACGGGATGCTGGTTTGTACTGAACGCCTTTGCCTGCTCGCTGTGAGTGTTTGCAGTGGCATCAGGGTGATTCAGGGGTTTGCCCTTTCAGCGCTGCCTGGTAAATTCTCCCTGAAAAGAGAGAACCAACCCCAGGGAGCTCGCAGCAAACACGGCTCAGCTTTTTGCTTTGTTCTGTCTCGCTCGCCGCTGCAGCACCGTGCGGCCCCTCGGGGTAAGGGGTTGGGAGAGCGGGGGCAGAGCCCCGGGTCACGGCCCGACATCGCTGGCGCTGCGATGAGCGAGAGGCCGAGGAGCTCGTGGCAGGATCCGACCAGCGGCTCGGGGTATGAGGGGATGAAAAGGCTGAGGATCCAAAGGATGAAATTCCTGAGGGGAAAAGAAAAACCAAACTAAGTTACTTCCCTGTTCGAGTTGAAATGATTAAGAAAAGGAACTCCTGACCGGCGTGGTTCCCGCAGCACCGCACGGAGGGCTGTCTGAAGGAAAAGAGCTGATGTTTAGGTGTGTGCCGCGGATTGGCCTTTGGTTGGGATTTTATTATGTGTGTATCCCCAGGATGGGGAGAACAGGAGGAAGGGTGCTTAGCAAGGAGTTTAAATACATATTTGTGTTGACATAAACACGTGCAAAATGACACTGTGGAGATTTGGATTAAATTAAAGTTTGTATATTAAAAGCTTTTAGATTAAGTCGCTGTGGTATTAAGTCGTCATTGCCCACGTGGGACGCTTTCAAAAATTGGTATTTTATCTTCCAAATTTTTATTTTAAAATCCTGTGAATAAGTTGTGAGAGGAACAATCATTGAAATTTGAAACTTGTCTAAAATAGTTACCAGTTACACAGGAAAATGTTGTCGTTTTTTTTTTTTAAATATGGCCTGTTCTGTGTGAAATGAAATCAAATTCAGTTCTGTTTACATGGGCAGCGTGAAATTTGACCTAATGAAGTCTGTCACTGCCTTTGGCTCATTGGGTTGTATTTTGCTTACTTGGCCAGGTGTGAATAGTTTCTTCTACATCTGATTTTGACTGCAATAAGATTGTAAGTGCTTATTTTACAGTGACTTTCTCAAAATTGATCTAAAAAACCCCGAACCTGGAATGCTTTTAAGCTGATTTTTAAAGGCTTGTGACTGGAAAAAGCGTGGTGGTGAGCTCTCTGGCATGATGGGTTTTGGTATCAAGGCTCCCTCCTGCTCCTGCTCCAGCCCCTGTGCCGGGGCTTGGTGGGAGGGCAGCGGTGCCAGCTCCTCCCGTCACCCCAGCCTCGGGGCTGCTGCCGAGGGTTCGCTTCTCCCTGGGAGGACGTTTGGGCTATGTGAAAGCCACGGCCAAGCCCCCGAAGGCCGCTTCCCCTGGGTGCCCAACCCGCTGTGCCCTCGTCTTCCAGCAAGCTTTGGCTTTCGCCAAGCTGCTTTGTGTTCGGTAGGCGCGGCGGGAGCCGAGGAGTTGGGTGGTGGTTGCTCCTGTGTGGCTAGGGGCAGGAAAACTCCGGGGGAGGCCTTAGGGGTGAGGGACAACAGCTCCTCCGCATGCTCTGCCGGGGGGTAGCAGCTGGGTGCCAGCGCTGACATGGCCTGGGTTGACCCTCTCCTCCTGCTGTCGTGGGCTCCGTTTCTCCGCTGCGCTGCTCCCGTGGCGCGGCACCAGCCTGGGCCTTGCTTGACGAGCCTGGGAGTTGTCTCCAGTCACAAGGCGCCAGCTGGATGTGTGTCTTCTCAGTGTTCAAGGAGCTCAGGGGTCAAACCTGTTAAAACACTTGTCCCTTGATTCGTAACCGCCTTTCCGTGTGAATCCCCAGGTGGTCCGGGCCCTCCGGGTGTTTCCAGAGCCGTGTCCGTTCGCTCAAGGCTCTGGTTTGTGTCTTCCTGAGGTCTGGAAACCTCCGCCCGGGCTGGGGCTGTGCCGCAGCGAGAGGACGTCTGCGCCGGGGGGGAGGATCCGGCTCCTGTTTTGATGAGGAACTCTGAGCCAGGGCTGAGGGCCGCGTCTCCCAGCGCGTTCCTGCCTGGGAGGAGCCGACGTGTCTTTCCTAATTGAGGCTGACCAACCCCTTCACTCTCAACGTGCCTCGCACAATTGCTGAGCAGGTCACCGTCGTCTTCGGCGAAACGCGCACTGCATTTCTCAGACACGGCTAAATGCTGCTGGACCTATTCTGCCCGGGCTCGTAGCACGGCTCGCTGCAGCGCGTGCTTAAATATCTGCTAGAACAACAAACTCCAGCTGGGGAAAAATGTTCAGTGACGTGTTGCAGTGCCCGAGTTTTGAAGACCCAAAGTAGCATTTTAAATAAAATCAGGTATGCCACAAGCAAGTGCCAGATTTAGCAAACTCTCTTTATTTACATACAAATACATGTACACATATATTCTGTATATGTACACATATTTAAGTGTATATACATACATGATTTCCACATACTCTACAGTAATAGCATGTAGGGTTTCCTTTTAATTGCCTACAGTGCTGAGTAAAAATACATGGCAATAAAATCATGGCTTACAGCTAAGTTACAAAAGCACCGACCACTGGACTCCTAGCAATAAATCCGAGCTTATATACAGCCAGAACGAGGACACGCTATACAGAATACAAAGTAGACCATCTCGTAGGAATCAACAGTAATTGACAAACTAAAAAACATCATTTAGACCAGGAGAGACTGTGTATGAAGGAAGATGAAGGAAAACATTCAGATTATTGATCAAACTAAACAACACGTTTAAATTTGTCACCTAAAGAGAAAAACAAATTAGCCAGTTACTCATAGTACATTTGTAACAGAAATTTTGGGGTTTTTTTGTATGAGATTTTACCAAGGAAATCAGAATTAATCTCATGAGTGAGTCTTTCTGAGCTGTCAGTCGTTTGTCCGGGCGCACACCACTTGAACAGAGGATTTTAATAATGCTTTATTTAGGCTGCGTGTACGTTTGATTGGAGGCAATAAAAAGCGCTTCTTCCACAGCACCCGTGACAGGGAAGCGTCACAAAGAACTGTGGCAGCGAACGGGCGGCAGCAGCAGCAAAATCAATACCCAGGGGAAGCGCAGGGGGCGGATGGTTGAAGCTGCGTTGCTGGAGCTGACGGTGGTTTGGGAGAACGTCTGTCCGGCAGCTGGACCCTCCCTTCTTGTAACTGGCTGCGGTGGAGCGATGCGGTGCTGGGCGGGGGGAAAGCCTGGCTGAATGTCGTTGGGAATCTGCTTTGAGGGGAAGGGGCCTCGATTGTTGCGGTCGTCTTTATTTGTCGTCGCTTCTATTTTGACTCGACGTCCGCAACGCCACGCCAAGGCAGGCAGCTGGGTGGCCTTAAGCGGAAAGCGTGTGCCATGGGTGTGGCGTCCTCACGGCGTGAGGTGCTTCCCTTCCTGCCCTACGGCGCGAGGAGGGCTGGAGGGCGAGCCGACTGCTTCCTTTAGGTGGAAGCCAGCCCCTGTCCCGTTTTCAGACTTAAACAGAGATTATCTTTTTCCGAAGTATGTGTATTCTCTATCACCGTAAAACCTAGTACCGGGGTATGTGTAAACGTTTGAGAAGAATCAAAACCAGTGGTGAGGAGGGAAGGAAGAAACGTACACCAAACCTGCACACCTGGTGGGTCTAATAAACTAAAGCTCATCAGTGTGTAATTACGGCGTTGCATATCCACGGGTAAGAAGTCTGAAGGAAGAACTACTCACTCTTCACTTCAATGGATACGTACAACTACTACAACTTATAGAAATGGAGATTCCTTTCCCTTTTTTTGGCCTAGAAATAGCACTTCCTTATAGTATTTGGACTTGACTCCTTGAGCTCTGTGTGTAACATTCTTTACGGAATTAGTGGGAGGGCCACTTATTTGGATTTTGTGTATAAGCAGCTGGGAGTCTGCTTCATCATTTGTTCTTTATATCGTCATCTAAAGTCCCCAATAAGAAGTAGGATCCTGCTAAGTCCTGTCCAATTCGAGCAGGAGATAACCTCTCCGCCATCGAGTCTAACTTCAAAAGCTGACTTTGAAGATTCACGCTCATTACAGACATAATTTTGTTTCATTTTTGTCACGTGTCTGCCTGGTAGTTCCCTTGTTAATGACGAGAGAGCTAAACTGCAACGGTCTGAAACGAAAATGATCATTACATAAATAGTTTGATTATTTACGATACATCACAAACACGGCTACAGTTTTTAAAGACTTTTTAACCTGATAGGAAAACATATTCTTCTCCAAAAGGTTAATGGAAAGGTTTATTTTTATGACTGGTGCTGTATCTCTACAGTTACCCACGACTGTATCAGCCAGAGGACAAGTATGGAGTCTCGCTATGGTAATTGTAGTCAGGACAGACCTTTTGCACCAGTTTGTAATCTACGCTGTAGAACGCAATGTAAATGCAGATAACTTTAAATGGTTTGGAACACAACCAGGAGACATGGCTTTGAGTCTGCTCTTGATAGCAGATCTTGGAAGGGTCGAAATTGCACAAGGCAGTTTTTTTAGCGCGGTCTGTTTTTTCGTACTCAATTCGGCAGTTGAAGGACTTGGATTCCTTGGTCTCCAGCGTTGACTGTGGAGAGGATTCAAACTCAACCACCTTGGAAGGTGGCACCAGGCTGACAGAAACATTTCCCAGGCCTGTGGAGTTGTGTCGGAAATAAACACTGAAGGTCCCATTGCCGTGATCGACGATTTTCCCTGTGATCAGGAGGTTCAGCTTAACAGTTTTGATGTTAGAGTGGAAGTCGCCCCATCCAAACATTTTCTTGAATTTCCCAGTTTTTACTATAGGTCTGCGTTTAGTTCGTGCGAGAGATTCCTGAACCTCTGTGATGTTGGACAACCAATCCCAAAAGTTTTCTATGCTGTCTGAGTAGGACACCTGGCCGTGTTTCAGTACTGGAGATGGCTTAACAAACAGGCGTAACGGGTTGATGATCCTGGAGTGGACCACGTTGTCAACCAACGTCTCTGCAGCATCCTTGTCTTCCCAGTCCAGCACGTCGGTGGCTTGTACGACTTGATTAGCGTCACAAAATACCTGTTTCAAAACAAAAAGAGAGAATTGTAAATATTAAGTGTGAAAATAAAAATGGCGAGATGCAGAAGGAGCCATTAATACTTATTTTTACCCCAATAAGGTCTGAACTGGCCCTGTCAGGTGGACCACGGTAATGAGTAATGTCTGCTGCCCTATGAAAGCTCAAGGATTTTACTCAAAATAACTTACAGAAGATGCAAAAATCTCAACAGGAGCCGTCCACTGGGACAAATGGATATCTGTCTGTACAGGTCGAGGGCTGTGAAGCCTGAGAGCAGGCAGACACCCTTCGCTTATAGAGTTGTTAGAGAAAAATGTGCCTAAGGACGCTGGAAAACCCGAACAGCAAAGTGGCACCTCTGCTAAAAGGTGGAGTGAAACAGGAACAGAGAATTTTCCATTCACCTTTGTTTTTCTCTCCACTTAACTTCCCGACTAGTTTAGGCTTTAAAATCCTGTCTTATTCAGCTGCTTCTGGTGTGGTACTTGAGTACTAACGTGTTTATTATACATTTGACTCTGGTCTTGCCTGTTCCATTTTTTCCAAACTTAGTGTGTCAGTTTGTGCTCTTAGTTTGTGTCAGATCATGAAAATAACTGTATTTTTGGGTGTGCTGGTTTCAGGTGCTAAGCTGCCTGTATTGAGCATCAGCTAACCTTCAAGAAGTGCTGAGCAATCCCAGCCATAGAACACATCTCCTCATTTTTCAGAAACACGACTAGGCCAAGCTAAGTCTAATACAAAATTGTTTGCAATCGGAAATCAAATAACTACTTCTGGTAGCGACAGAACGGTGTAAGATTTCCCAGTCAGACACGCAGGTCTCAGTGAACAGCAGATTGCCAGTTTGGTGTAGAGACACGTTGCCCCTGTACGTTCTCCCTGTACTCTCTGAGAGAGAAGGCCTGTTGAAAATGCAGCACTTGAGCTCATTGCTCACTTGAGCATGTGCTCAAGCGGTCAGAAGCAAGATCCGTGCTTCAACAAGCTAGAAATTGTCATCTAACTTTTTCTTTTTAGGTCCTTTCAAGCTTGAGCATGAGTTCTGGAGAATGTGTTTTCAGGGTTTGTTCTCTTCAGGACTTTCTTATACCACCCGCCTGGACGCAATCCTGTGCGGCCTGCTGTAGGCGGGCCTGCTTCGTCAGCGGAGGTTGGACTAGGTGATCTCCAGAGGTCCCGTCCAACCCCTGCCAGTCTGGGATCATCTTAATGTACACAGAAAAACTTTTTCAGCTGCAATTATTCTTACAAAACGTGTGAACAGAAAGAACAGGTGCTTAAAACAGAAGGAAGGAAGGACAAGGGTGTACTGTCCCCATCCCCAAAATGCTGCCGCCTCCTTCTCCCGCCAAGCTGCCGCTCCCACTTCAGCACCGATCTTGCTGTGCCAGGATGGGGGTGGTGGGCTCCCAGCACGGCTGCCGCACAGGGTGGGTTTTTCACTACCCAGTAAGCAACGACAGCACGATTACGGGGTGGAAGTTTGCCTAAAGCACTCAAAACCCCGAGCGCGTGCCGTCCTCCTCAGTCGCTGGCTGATGCTGAATTCATGAGGTGGGATTTTGTGCTGCCTGTCTCACTAGGGAAACCGCAATGCTGGGCTTGTTCTTCCCCCCTCTGCTGATCCCAAAGGGGTCTTCTATGCCTTGAGTTCCTAGCAGTATTCAGTTGCTGTAATATTTAATTGTTATTTCTATAATATTTAATTGTTATTTCTATAATCGTCAATTTTTCATTTAATTATCTGGCAAAGATCAGAAACTCCAAAGCCCTTAATCTTCACTGAGGCCTGTTCTCCAGCAAGAGGCTCTAAACCAGAGCCCAAACCCACTTACCGCGTGCTCTTCCTGATCATCCCTAATGCAGTAATTAAGACTGAATGTTGAAAGGCAGCCATCACAGTAACATTCACAACTTGAACGTTGAAAGGTGGCCATCACTATTGCTAAATAAATCTACGGCTGGATCAGAACAGAGTGGTCAGGTGTGTCTCTGCAGAAATTCGTTATTTTCTTCTACAGTTGGGAAAGGGGGAGGAAAGACAACAATGATCACGCTCATCCTGAGACCTTGTATGTCAACTTTCTGCCTCTATGCTACGTTTTTTATGGCTGAGCTATGAACCCAGGAAAATAGGAGATTCTAATGGAAACAGTGACAGATGCTTATCTGTACCAGCACAAATAGCGCTGTCATAACGATGCTGGGGGAAGCATCGTTTCCGCTGTGATGGAAAGCTCCTGGTGAAGCGATGTCATGTTTATGCATGGTTCTTCAGCCACTTTGAGCCCGCTCACAAGCTCAAAATCAGCCGGGTGATGCTGAGAACAGCTGGCCATCACCACTGCCAGGGAAATAACTCCCCCGCTGCGGAGAAGTGACTCTGTCCAGACGAAACAAGAACTGATGCACACGTTCACCCATCCTTCACCCCAGAACTGACCTGAGGCCTTCAGAAGCACACACACACACACAAAAAAAAAAGCTTTTCTGCTGCATTTCCAAATTCCAGCTGGGACCAGGAGCCTGGCAGTGCTGAAATACCAGAAACTTTTGTCTGTGTGTTTGCACGGCTAAATGATCTGCTACTTAACATGCTAACGACCACTCAAAACCACGGACACCTATAGCTGGTATTGCTGTCAGCAACTGAGCCAGAGGGAACTGCAGCTGGAAATTTTCAGGAGAAATACATAGAAATGAAGCCCCTTGGCTCACAGGAGGTTCTAACTTTGCTTGTGTCCGCACCCAGCTCTGACTGTCCTCTGGCAAGGGCACGGGAACACACACAATTGTCCTTCTGGGCTACTTGTCTTTTGCAATGTTTATTGAAATCCGTGCAATGGCTCTTTTTGGCTTTTCTCCCCTCTCCTTTTATGAAGAGATCTAGAGGGCATTGAGTCATGTGTTACTGGTAATACTCAATGTATGTCTCTTCAGGGGGCTCTCACTCCAAATGAGATAGCAGAGCATTGCTTTCTGAACTGCTTTTTTCAGAAGACTCTGATATAAAAAGAAGAAATATGTAGGTATAAGGTTCGGGGTGGCTGAAGGGTGGGAAGCATTAATGCATGCTAAAACCAGGTGGGTTTGTCACATCGATGAGGTATTAGGGCACAACTATTTCAAAGCCACAACGGTGGAATTGCAGAGTTGCGTCACGCTAAACCGCTGCTACTTTTAAATATCTGTGTGTTACACCGAAGGAGGTTTACTCATAAGATGATGAAACACGTCCCCGGAGCTACAGGGATGCGGACTATTTCATGTGGCAACAAAACAACTCTCATAATGTGGGAACACAAAATCATTAACACGTTGAATTACAAGGATGCAATATTCGTGTTTAAGGCCTAGAGAGCAATCACTGGCCACTGCTGAAAGTTGTACCTTACACTTAACCTGAGCAAATTTTGCCTTCTCTTCTTTGAACTAGTTTGCAGACTGGAGGATTCTCCAGTGTCACACAGCCTTCGTTCTCGACTCTGCTTCATCCTGCTGCTGCCTTGTTTCACCGATTTCACTGTAAGAGCGAGACTCAGAGGCTGACAGAGCTGTCAGCTCAGTCGGCCGCAGGGAAGGGGACTGTGCGAGGGTCGTCCATTTGTTGTGTTTTGCAAGCGTTCAGGAAAGAGGTGTCTAACAAAGAACTGCCTGGCTCTGCTCAGTGCCCAGCGCAGGAGCAGGAACGAGGGCGCATTGTTCAGAAATGCGAATAATATTTGTGCTTTTTGAACGTAAAACCTTTTTTTTTTTGTGCATCTGCAGGGGTTTTTTTTCTGTTTTGAATAAAGCCTGCTGCAACACGAGAGAACTGAACTCGAACGCTTCATTTTCCTCTGTGCATCGCCAAGGCCCTTCGCTTGCTGACAGCTTTTTGCTGCTGGCAAGGATGGGCCCGTGCTCTTTGTTCAGCGGTTTATCTGCGCTGGGTAGCAACTTCCGGGCAACAGAACAATCCGGGCTAAAAGAATGCAGGATGCGCTGGAAAAAATGGCTTCTTCAGCATCTTCCTATTTCACTATAATGCTTCTCTATAGTGGGAAATATTGCTAGTAGGGTATTTGAAAAATACTGGCTTAGGGAAGTATACATTTAAATAGATGGCTATTGCTGTAGTTCTCCTCTGCTGCACTTGCATTCTCCCATTCCCTCCAAACCATCAATTTCCAAAGAGAAGAAATCACCTCATCTTTTTCCATACTACAGAGGCTGTAAAATGTCACCCAGTTACCCTGAAATTTCCATTAGACCATAGATATTTTCCAGTAAGAAACGTAATCTTGGACCCATCATGATGTACAGAACCCACAACGTGCCTTGCTGGGTTTTTTTTGCTATTTTAACCGCAAGAACAGCTCAAACCAAAGTACAATTATGGAGTTTTAAACTTCAAACCGTTGGTTCTTCCTGTGCACTTGTCTGAAAGATGGCGATTGCTCCTCAAAACCTTTCTCTTCCATGAATGATCCTGACCGTGGTAGAGCAGCACAGGGTTAAATAACGCTCCCTGTGAACTATTTTTGAGAAATGAGCCTGCGCTGATGAGACACCGGTGTCAGTAAATGCTGTATTTTCTCTGTTTGCCCAAATAAATTTGGGTTCATCTGGAACTTGCTGCTTGCCTTTCTCTGCGGGCAAGACGCTAAATAAAAGCAGGTGTACCCGTGCAAGAGTTAATCGTTTTGATGCTTTGGGAATTTTATCCAGCTTATTCATCAATCACCAGCAATCATTCCTGTAGCTTCACCCCTGCCAGGAGTCATTTAAAAACTCTTGGCAATTAGCTGAAATAAATAGGTCTGTTGGGATAAACAGCTCCAAAGCACCATTCGGCCGCTCACTGGTGCTGCTGTGAGCTGCTTGTCCCACCGATGGCGAGGAGGGACGGGGTACTCAGAAACCTCCTCCTGCCCCCCGTTTCACCAGTGAAAAACTCATGCTGGGGGAGGCTGCCGGTGGTCCCCTCGCTCTCTGCTCCTTCTGTCCCTGAGGCTGTATCTCA